GGTGAATCTATTTAATACTCATTGCAACGAAAACTCCTATGAGCAAACAAACAAACAAAAAGCCCCCATTTTATTCCTAAATGCATAAACTTAAACATAAATGCATTTTATTTATTTATTTATTGCTTTTTGGGTCAGACCCGGCGATGCACAGGGATTACTCCTGGCTCTGCACTCAGGAATTACTCCTGGTGGTGCTCAGGGAACCATATGGGATGCTGGGAATCGAACTCGGGTCGGCTGTGTGCAAGGCAAAAGCCCTACCCGCTGTGCTATCACTCCAGCCCCCATAAATGCATTTTAAAGAGGAAAAGAAGATGCTGAGATACTGGTCAATATTTAATGTTCAAATAAAAAAACAATCTGTCTGATTTGCGTTTTATTTTGCGAGGGATTGGGGGGTGGCCGTGCTCAGAGGCCCGGGGACCAAGTCTGGAGAGTCTCTGTCAAGACCAGGCCCGATGTCTCGATGCCACCCAGCCGACCTGCCAAACGGGCTCTTCCATCACCCCTTTACACCTGCTCTAACGGTGAGAAAGGACAGGCCTGAGATGAGCAACCTCTGACCCGAAACTGGATCCTCAGACACTCGGACACACTGCCTTCGCCTTCAGCCCGACGTTGACTTGCTCTGACCCTCGTCTTCACTCCGTTCTGAGACTTTCACACACCTCAGGAGGGTTCAGAAGTGGCAAAGTGTGGGTTGGCGATGGAGCCCAACATATCAGGTGCCTCCGTGTGTATGCGTGTTGTGGGGGGGGCGCTGGGTTCCATCCCGGCCCTACACCCCAGAGACATCAAAAGATGGTGAAGTTCGTACCAATAACCGTGCCGAGAAACAGAACTCAAGCCCTTTAGTATAAAACAGACTCAGGAGCACAAAGTCATTCTTCCGGTCAAAATTCTTACTTTGGGTGGTGAGGGCAAAGTAGATTCACAATTCAACTCTTTTAACTATGAAAAGCAAAAGTGCAGTCGAGAGATGGGCTCAAGTGGTAGACTCATGTGGGGAACGGCTCCAGTGGCCCCAGAACCCCAAAGAGTAAACTTGAACCCCATGTCGGTGGAACAGTTTCCTTCTTTCCTCTTTTTTTTTCTGGGCCTCACCAGGTGGTGCTCAGAACTTGGTCCTGACTGCACTCAGGGGTCACTCCTGGAGGCCCTCAGGACCCTATGCCAGGCCAGGGATCAAAGCCCCATCAGCCTCAGGCAAGGCGAGTGCCCTACCAGCTGGTCTCCTAGTTATCGGGCCCCCATGTTTACATTGTCATCCACAGACAAACGCTTCGCGTGGGCAGGATGAACCTCTGGACCTCCAAGTCCAAGCTGCGCCTGGGAGCACGCAATCAGGCAGTTACGTGTTCTGGCTGCGAGGCCGATGCTGGTGGTGCCAGCTGGACTCACACGGAGACACGGTGGGAGGCAACGGGGAGGGGAGGAGTTATACCATCACAAAGCAGTAATAGGACACACTGGAAAAGGTCCCTTTTCCCTCCGAAACCACTCAGGAGACAGAGAACCGCAAAGCACACGCTGACTCCGGCATGGGCCTTCGCTCACACCCAGAAGTGTCACACTGCTGAAACGAGGCCTCTGGCAGAGCTCACCACGGGCACCGCAGCTGGCCTGGGACGCGATTCCAGTTCCAGGCACAAGATGTTCTCAGACACAGCAAACACACAAGCCCACGGAATCCGGGCCTCAGGCAGCTGATTTTTCTCCTGGTGCCACGGCAGCTGCAGCGGGGATACAGACAGGAGACTTATTACCAAGAGTGATGACATTTTTGCCAAATCAGAGCCTAAACCGAGGACATGGAAAAACAGGATAAAATATCAGAGGGACTGCATTAGTTCATACTTCACCCTGAACAGAGACAAAGCTTGTTCGCTATAAAAGCCACAACTTCAGAAGTACTCGTGTAGGTCATTAAGAGAAAAGAAATGAGGGCTGAGCAGTGCCGGCCCAAACAGCCCCCCACAGCCACGCGCTCCCACAGTCCGAAATTGCTGCCAGGGCCCCCATGGGCAAGACTCCATCTTCTTGGGATGGACCCCGTGGAGAAATTAAATGGATGCAAACTCAGGTATACAGGATTTGTGACTGAAATCTCCAGGCTTTTTCAGAGTTGGGATGGGCTACCTCCCCCCTCCCCCATGTCCTTGTACTTCCAGAAGCCCCAGCAGCTTTTGGACATCCACACTCCAAAGCTGCCACCCAGACAAAACATCAACTCCAGTAGTACCTTCCCGACAAAAAGACTTAACTTTCTGACATCTCAAACTCTAAAACACTGATAAACCAGTAGTAGCACACCAGATTGGAGAAGGAACAAAATAAACACAGGAGGCTGAACCTATCACAACATCTTACAAGGACTCAATGTCTCCATAAGATACAACAATTTATTGATTGGTCCATGGCTGTAAGCCTGCCCCAAGCGCTGGGGAGAAGGCAGTTGGGAGAGAGAAGGGATCGTAAGGACAGCGACAGTAAGAAACGAACACTGGGTAAGATCTGAGTGCTGAAAGTCCCGTAAGGAACAGAACACGATGACCTCTCTGTGCCTGTATTGCAAACTATCACGCCCCAAAGGAGAGAGAAAGAAGAAAGGTGCCTGCCTCTAAGGCAGGGTGGAGGGGTGGCGGGAGGGAAACTGGGTGGGAAAGGTACTCTGGTGGAGGGATAGGGGGCGGGAACATGGCGTGACTGAAACCGGATCTTGAACAGCTTTGCAATGGTGCATCTCATGGTGATCCAATGAAAGGAACTTCAAGAAAATAAGTGAGGGCTGGGAGGGTCGGCCCCCTGGGGTTTGCATGGGGCGGGGATGCAGGTTCCACCCCGGCACCGCAGTAGTTCCCCCCATCACCGCCAGGGGTCCGTAGTGAGCAGAGCCAGGAGCAGTACCTGTGCTCCAGGTGTGCCCCGTCCGCAATACAAAGAGAGAGAGATGAGGAGAGTGGGGTGGGCAGGGGAAGAGGCGACAAAAGCCGAAGAAAAACAAAACAACAAAACAAAACAACAAAAAAACACCAAACTGCAGGAGAAAGGAAAACAGTCTGAAAGAGCCCGAGAGAGGCGGGCGCACCCTCTGCGCCCTTGGAGCCCTGGGGCGGGGTGGGCGGGGAGCGAGATGGCCAAAGGGAAACAATGTTTTAGCGGGCAGGGCACTAGCCGGAGCTCGCTACTCTCAGCACGCAGCCGGCCGAGCTCCCAGACTCCCTCCGGGCTGAGCTCTGTCCCCGCGCGAGGCACAGGTCAGCCCTGCTCGTCCTCGCGCTGCCCCGCCTGCACTTGCACAAAGGGCCAAGCTGAGCCCCCGCGATGCCCCGCGATGCCCCGCGATTGGGCACCAAAGGGACCGCGTGGTTTCCCGACAAGACCCCAGAAAAATCCTTTCTGGTCTTCCCGGAGCAGGGACTGCGGGTGGGGAGCGAAGGGGGTGGGGGGGTGGGGAGGGCGGTGTTGGGGGGGATCTGGGCTTTCTGCAATTTCTCCAGGAGGGTCCAAAGCCCCCACTCCCCACCCCAGCAGCCACTGGGTCAAAGTTCCCTCCTGCAGAGCAGTGGGGGTGGCTCCCTCCTGGGGCGCCAAGTTTTGGAACTCGGAGCTCCACCTGGGAACTGGAGGGCGAGGGCGAAGTGTCCTGAAATCAGGAAAAGTCGGGGCGGGGGCAAGCAGCCTCTGGGGCACTCCTGTGCCCCTGCCCGGCCCGGAGAAGTCCCCGGACACCCTCCACCTCAGCATGAGGCGTGACTCACGGGCGCCGCCGGCCACCCCCCACCCCTCCTCGGGGCTGAAGCTGGGGGGCTCGCCCGCCCGTGCCCGCTCGCCCCAGGCACGCGGCGGTCACTCGGCTGGCCTGGGAGGGCACGTGGGAATGAGCAGATGGAGCGGGAGCCCCCGCCCCCCCCCCCCCGCCCCGAGGCGCGGGGAGGGGGGCTGCTCCCCGGCCCTTAACGCGGCAGCCCCGTTGGGCTATTCTTCAAGCCCATCCCGGGGCGCTGGTTCCCAAGGAGGCCTGGACTGGCTAATGTTTTAAATGCTGAATGTCTTAGTCAAAAGTGAAGCGTCATGAAAAAACAAGGGCCACCCTCTCCCAGCCCACTTGGGGTCCTGGCTGACACGCCCCAGATCTGCCTCCGGGCACCATCTAAGGCCATCAACAGCCTTGATCCTGAGACGCCCAAAGGAACCTCAAAATAGATTAGCTCCCTACAGAGATGTCTCTGGACCCTAACCATTTACAATTTTAGAATTCCAGAAGGCCTCTCATGATATTCATAATAGGCAATAGAAAAAAAATGATCTAGCATTTGCCTCTGGCAGGCAGGCTTGAATGGTGGTGGGGAAATTTGAAATAAGCGTGGTGAGACGGTGTAATAGTGGTGGGATTGGTGTTGAAATATTGAATGTAATCAAATAATGTGAACAACCTTTTGAAACAACAAAAACAACAACAACAAAACCCAACAAGGGCCAGAAAAATAGTATAGGTATTTGCTTTGTACCCCACTGACCTGGGTTGGATCCCCGGCACCCCACATGGTTCCCCAAGCCTTACCAGGAGTTATTCCGGAGTGTAGAGCCTGGGGTAAGCCCTGAGCACCACGGGGTGTGGTCCCCAAACTAACAACAAAAATAAAACATAACATGGAAGCAACATAGCAAAGAAATATTACCTGATTCTCCTGGGCCCTTTCGTCCTCATCTGCTTGAGAATCAGAATTACCTTTCAGTTGAAAACAAAAAGAGTGAGTGTAGGTCTTTGAAAATGTGCCTTTTGGGGGGCAGCAACAGTTCAGGAGGTAGGGGGTTAGATCTCTGGTCCCCTGAATGTCCCCTGAGCAGGGTGATCCCTGAGCAGAGCCAGCAGTAAATTCTGAGCACCGCAAGGTGTGACCCCAAAACCAAACTAACCCCCATCCCCAAAGTGCCTTTTCGCCTTGTTTTGGGCTCTTATTTTGGCGCCAGTGTTGCGGACCCAGGGACACTACCGCGAGCCCATGCTCCAGGCAGGTGCCCAAGTTCACCCTCCTGTGCAGCCAGCTGGGGGAGGGGCGGCGGGGCAGGGGGGCTGGTGCCCCCGGAGGTGTGGGGGAGGGCGGAGAGCAGGCACCCCTCAGCGGTAGCATTTTACCTGCCCAGCTCTGGAGCTGCCTTTTGTTCTCTTTGAGTTGAAGCTCCAAGATTTTGACCTTGAGCTCCAGCTTCACCTTGTCAGATTCCAGGGACTGAAAAACTGAATGCAAGGACTTGGCAGAGGCATTTTCTCCCCTGAACAAGGAGACCTGCAACACAGGGGTGTGGCTTAGACCCACATGGCTGTGGCTGTGACCCCCATGTGGGCGTGGTCGGGGCTGACATGGGAGTGGCTCAAGCCAGAGTGGGCATGGCTCAGGCCAATGTGGGCGTGGTTCAGAGCGAGATGGGCATGGCTCAGCCCCATGTAGGCGTGGCCCGGGCGGAGATGGGCGTGGCTCGGGTCCACGTGGGTGGGGCCGGGACTTGACCTCATTTCTCAGCTTCTCCAGCTCTGCATCCCTCTCCCTGAGCAAGGCACTTATAATACTGATGAATTTCTGTAGGGAAGCTTTCTCTTCATCGGAGTCTCTTATGAACTCGGATTCTCTAAAAGACCAAAGTGTTCAAAATGCCAGAAATCAACCCAGAGAGAGGCCAGTGCACAACTGCCCTAGAATGGATGCTCAACGGCTCCTAGGACTATTGCGGGGGGAGGGGCCCAGGCTTTTACGTGTGCAAAATTTTAGTGAAATTTTACTGACTGTGAGGGAGAAAAAGTTTGCCTTTGTGTACATGCCAGAACCTGCATATCATTGTGTCCATGTGAATTTAAAGAAACAAGTTAATAACTTTGGGAGAGGGAGAACACAAAGAAAAAAGAAAAGAAGGACTGGTTGCACCCCCAACCCCCAAAAAGAATTCTTTTAAACAGCTAATCCCAGGTTGAAGTGCGATATCTTGAATAAATTATTACCAAGCTATGACAACAATTAAAACACACACACATGCAAAGCAATTATATGAATGTCATGCAGAGCGGCTTTATGCTGGGAGTATCCATTGGTTCTCACTCATTTCAGTAACTTTCAGCAAGTTTGGAGAATGTGTTTTTGAAACCTTTCTGAGCCAGAACGGGGCAAAGATTGTTACGACTAACCCAACAGAGAATGATTTTCATCCTGACTCTGGAGAGGACCAATGTGAGTTGCTCTTAAACAAAATGGCAATTCGCAAAAGACCAGAACAGAAACATGAACATGGGTTTCCAGTAGAGGATGAGAGCTCGGGGCACACGGAACATGTGGCCTCACACCCTCGGCCAGATTCTCCTCCGGGCTGGCTGGCAGAGGAGATGGAGGACCTGGCCTGGGGAGAGAGGGCGGCAAGACAGGGAAGGAGCGAAGACACAACAGATACAACCCAACGGGTGCGTGTGTGGCTGTGTGTGTGTGTGAGCATTTACACCACAAAAGGACGTGTGTGGGGGAGCACAGGGAGGGGACGGACAGCCAGTCAAGACTGGGCAATGCCGCAGCCTGGAAAGGACATGAGAGGGGACAGAAGTGTGGCTCCTGGGATGCATATTTGGAGAGAGACAGAGGTGCGTGTGAAGTGGGGGATCTCATTAAAGTCTGGGGTCCAGGACAGCTGTGGATGTTCGTGTCATACTCACTGGTTCAAATAAGTTCAATATTTGTTTTAAAATTTTTTAATAGTTTTAAAATATTTTACTCCCACAAAAAAAAATAAAGTCATCATTTGTTCCTTTGATTCACTGAACGTTTTTTTTCTTTGGGGTGGATGTGTGTACACCTGGCCATGCTCAGGGTTTACCCTGGCTCTGGGCTCAGGGTACCACAGGGGGTGCCAGGGATTGAACACAGCTCAGCTGTTTACAAGACAAGATAGTAGCAGTTCTACGACTTTCGCGGCCCCTGAAGGAGTGACTTTCCATGGATGGCTGCATAAACATTCCTGGGACATAGGGGGACAAGGGGAACAGAGGTCATGAGACAGCAGAGGGAAATGGACAAGTGGTTAAATGGGTCATTTATTTTTTAAAATTTATTTATGTATTTATTTTAACCGGGGGTCACGCCCAGCGATGCACAGGGGTTACTCCTGGCTCTGCACTCAGGAATTACTCCTGGTGTTGCTCAGGAGACCATATGGGATGCTGGGAATCGAACCCGGGTCGGCCGTGTGCAAGGCAAACACCCTACCCCGCTGTGCTACCGCTCCAGCACTAAGTTGCATGCCAAGACGAGTGTCTTAAAAAACAAAACCTAAATGGAACAAAAAAATGCTTCACCTTCTGACGGACGGTTGCCTCCTCAAGCCAGGGCACCAGTCATGATTCTGGGGGGATGTGCGCTGTGGGGAGCGCAGGGGAGGATGGGACTCTGGTGTCTGTGTGCCCCCAACTTGGGAGCTGTCTCCTGCAAATAGCACCAGGGATGAACCGACCATTTGGGACCAGCTCTGGGGGGCTGGGACGATGAGCAGATGGAAGGAGCTGAGACGGGCGGCAACCATGGACGTGCAACAGATCCCGACAACCGCCACTCAAGAGTACAGAGGACTCCCCGCAACCAGAACTCACAGTGGGGTGGGGTGGCGGGTGCGCTGTGTCACAGGGAATTACAGCACAGTAGAATTCATGGGAAACGCATTTCCCTTCCTTGTGTCCTCCATCTTCAGCAGCCTGGCAGTGGGCTGGCCTTGGGGATGCTCCTGGCTCTTTGCTGGGGGCTGGGTGGAGGGAGGGAACTCTGCCTCCTGCAAAGCCTGTGCTCCCTGCGGCCCCAGACTTCAGAGCAAAGCTCAGATATGCTTAGGCCCATCTGCCTCTTTCTTTTCTTTTGTTTTGGGGCCACACCTGGTGATGTGAGGGGCTTACTCCTGGCATTGTGCTCAAGGATCACTCCTGGCTGGGGGAGGATCCACCTGGGATGCCGGGGATGGACCCTGGGTTGGCCTCCAACAAGGCAAGTTCCCTGCCCGCTGTGCTATCCTGCAGCTCCCCTATTTGTCCTTTTCATTCTGACTTTCGTTTGCATTTCTGCAGCAAGTTCAAATTCTGGGCTTCTCTGCTCCACCTCAGTTCAAGATGTTTTCCATCCTGTGGAACTATGTCTTTTTCTCCTGGTACTCTGGTTGAAGTTTTTGTTCTCCTGAGTCGTAACAGTAACTGCAGAAAACGAATCTGTAACAAGATAGTTCTTTTTGTTTGGTGGCACATTTGGCGGTGTTCGGGGCTTACTCCTGGCTCTGTGCTCAGAGAGCACTCCTGGCGGTGCTCGGGGGACCATACGGAGTGCGGGAATCACACCTGAGTCAGACAAAAAGCAAGGCAAGAGCCTTCCCGCTGTGATATCACTCCAGCCCCATAGAGTGATGAAAGTGAAAAACAACAACAACAACAACGTTTTTACATGCAAGGGAATATGTAGTTTTTAATTAAAATAACACTAGCACGTTACTCATTATTTTATTTTATTTTATTTTTGGCTTTTTGGGTCACACCCGGCGAAGCTCAGGGGTTACGCCTGGCTCTGCACTCAGGAATTACTCCTGGTGGTGCATGGGGGACCATATGGGATGCTGGGGATTGAATATGCAAACGCCCTAGCCGTTGTACGTTGTAGTATCATTCCAGCCCCTAGCATGTCATTAAAAAAAAAGAAAGAAAAATTTGTGTACAGAAAAGTGGTTATTTTCTTCTCCTTCCAGATCTGGTCACTGCAGAATTTTTGGTCGTCGCTTTTCTGGTTGGTCGTACGGTCTTCTACCTGAAGTAATAAGACTGCAGATTCTACTGCTGCCACTGGGTTCAAAAGTCTGTATTGCTAAATAATGTTTGATTTATAAATTTTTTTTTGCTTCTGTTTATGGGTCCTACCTAGTTGTGCTCAGGGCTTACTCCTGCCAGTGCTTAGGGACCACATGGGACGCCGGGGATTGAGCCCAGGTCAGCCTCAGGCAAGGCTGGGCCCTCCCCGCAGTGCCATGGGTTCTGCCCCAGGATTAGACTTTTATTCCCGTCCTAGGCATCCGTTGTGCTGACTCTCCTCTCCTCTGCTCTTCCAGCACAATTGTCCAAAGGCTTTGCTTGGCAGTGTTTTAGCGCAGGGGCTGTTTCAAGAGCAGACGAATTTGTAGATTGCAATGCCAGACATCAAACCACGTGGGGCGGGGGGCGGGGTTATCGGTACTCACACCCCCACGGTCCATGTTCCCTGACCCCAAGGTGCCAGGAACAAACTCAGGAATGTCTCGCACTTCCCCCATTGCTGCAAACAGAGGCTCTTTTCCAATAAATAAAGCCCATTTGTGTCAAACACATGTCCTGGGGCCCACGGCAAAGCCAATGGGGTGAAGGGGTGAAGGTTGTTTCTTCAGCTCAGGGTTCTGGGGAGGGGGAGGGGCACTTTAAAGAGGCGTGAATCTGAGGGTTAGTTTGTTCTTTTTCTTGAGGGCCACTCCAGGTGATGCACCAGGCTTCCTCCTCCTGGCTCTGCACTCAGGGGTCACTCGCCGTGATGCTTGGGGGACCATGTGGGGTGCAAGGATGGAACCCGGGTTGGCCGCATGCATGACGCACACTTTCCCCTGTACTGTACTATCGCTCCAGCCCCAAATTTGAGTATTTCTTAACTTAAAAAGAAAAAGGGAGATGGTAGCCCTGGCCTCCTAGCTTTGCGGCCTAGGTAAAACCATCCTTAAGCAACCGAGTAGATTTCTCTGCAAGGACAGCGCAGCCAGCGTTACCATGGAAATAGGCAGCCCAGACAGCAGAAACTGATGCGGTCACATGCCTGATAGCATCCATCATATCAGCAGGCGGGGTTGGGCCGCTGAGTCCCACATGGCCCACAGCGTGACACCTTTTTAAGCGAGTGACACCCTTCACTCGTGCACCCCGCCTGGAGAGCATTCCTACTGCTCGAGAGGGGCCGGGGCGGGGGCTGGCGCTGGGCCTGTCTGGGTCTGTGGAGCTCAGGAACCCTCCATGCTGAAAATGGGGATATTCTGCACCCCAGGAGAATTTTTTTTCTTTCGGCAAAAATAAACTGTCCTATTTGCCACTGTCTGTCCACTGGCCAGACTGCACCTGACTCAGGTGAAACGCCTGAAGGAAAGGCGGTCAGCTCACTCCCCAGCAGGTGGGTGCCAGGGTGGAGTCGGGAAAAGTACCTCCAGGAGCCTGGGCCAGAGCACAGCGGGGAGGGTGTTGGCCTTGCACACAGCAGACCTGGGTTCCATC